TTTAAATTTTGGCCTATTTTATATGCCTATTTGGCTAATATTATACAAACTCAGATCTGAGTTGTATCAGAGTTCTTTGAGGTCCTATTTAGTATATCTAAGTTTAAAACACTATTAGATAAATACTTCTTTGACTGGATTAGGTAGGGAGGTCAGTACTCGATCCAGATTAGTTTCAAAGCATTGTTTGATCAGCTTTTACATTTGAGGTATGTACTTTGATGTGTTTGTTGTCTTGTTATGCTGATTTAGAAAATAAACAATGCTGACTGTTTTGGTGCATGTGATATTGATCTTTTAGAGGGATAAACTAAATTGCCCACTTTTTACAAAAATTTTTTCGAAAAAAAGTGGTGGGCCAATAAGAGTATATGAGGTTCTTCTTGTAAGTTTTATAGTTGTATAGTTTAGTTTCTTAGTTTCTATTAAATATTCTTGATCAGAAACCCACAGAAACGTTGCTTCCAGAATAACCCTTCTGGTTTGGATACTGAAAGTGCAAGGAAGTTTACTAAAAAGCTTGATCCAAAGGCACAGCCCACTCTTTATTATATATCTGCTCCTCGGTGTTTTACATATATAGTAGCTTCGTTAACAGCAAGTTTGTTTGTATAGACCAAGAGTATTGTCATATCTACTTTATTGCTTTTCTATAACATTTTTCTGTAGTTTAGTTTTTTGTTATTGACCAAGGGATCGTCAGAAAGAGTTTTAAAAAAATAATTTTCTTGTTTTAAAATTTTTTTTTAAAATATCTATTATTAAAGCAAAATTACTATTTCTGATAGATTGTTGGTACTGATTCTGATAGAGCAAAAAAAAAATCGATTTGCATACTATTCTTATAAATCAATACTATTTCTGATGGATCGTTGATATTAATCCTGATACGTACATAGTACATTACGATATTATAAATTTCTGACTATGTGTCCTAAACTATCAAGACTATATATTCTAAATTATCAATACTATTATATACATATTATATACTATATACTTGTCTCAAATCTTATAATCAAAATTACTTTATATAAAGCCTAAAAATAAAAAACCCATAACAAATAAAGATGATTTTATTAACAATAGTGATTTGATAAAAAGCTTCGTGTTTCAGTTCAATACTCTGAAAAGTAAACAAAATATAAAAATGAATTATAATAAAAACACTTTAGAAGGTTACAGAACTTACTAAAATTTGTAAGAAAATAAACCCCAATTCTATGTTACTTATGCTTAAAACTTTGATAACTCATATCGTGCAACTGATAAATTAATAAAATAAATATATACAGAATATTATATTAACTTGCATTTATATTTAAATTGTTATATATTATCTTTTAAGTCATCTGATATTTTATTATAAGTTTTCAAGCTTAAACAATAAATTTAACTATACAAACCCAATTAAATTTATTTAATAAAATTCTTATATGCACTAGACTATCTAACTTGATAGCAGTGCTAACCAAATATACAATATAAATGCTAGTTTAAATTCTCTTTCTCATTCTTTGCTTAACTCTTTTGATTACTTATCTATCTATATAATTTCATATCATTTTCAGCCAGATTATCATCTAATCACAACCTTTTATCTAAGGCTACATTCATGAACTCTTTGGGATTCTATGCACATTCTTTTTCAAAGAAAAGTTCTTTCAGTGATCTTTTTACAGCAGTAGCAGCATCATTTTCTTGTTCATTATTTGAAGTCTATTTATAAAAATTAGTAAAATTACATAATAAACTAATACCAATTTAAAATCAGTAAATTCACAATCTGAAAGCAATTTTAACGTTTATTTCGAATTCTAGTAGTATTGTGTCTTTGAATAGAGTGAGGATCTGCAAACCTTGGAGCATTTTCATCACAATTAATTGAAACTTCTAAAAGTATTGAATTTTTAAAACTATTTTTGTTATTATACTCTTAATTGACCTCATTTATATATGTATTTTCTGTTTCATTAAACCATATTTCATTAGAATGAAAAATTTGATCATTTTTACAAAGTTTTGCTCCATTATTTTTAGATGCTCCACTTGTTATAGAGATTGGTATATCATCTGCTGGATGAAAAGGATCCTTTGTTATTATTATTCGTTTTATTAGAAAAAATATAGTATTACCAATATCACTATAAAATTATAGAATCTTTTGATAGACTTCATTGTTATTACTATCGTGAATAATATAATATTTTTTTCAGGTGCAACTGTATGTTCCTTATTTTTAAAATGTTTTACTAGTCTTTCTTTGATTTCTTGCATATATATTTTTCTATATAAGACTTTTATATATAATAGTGCAGTATGCACATGCTTGCAAACGTCTTGAAAAGGACTATTTCAAATATAGTTATAACACATGCATTCTCCAGATAATATATTGACAAGATAATATGTTTCAGGTATATGAAGATTATCTCTGTTAACTAATTTAATAATCATATCATTTATCTTTTCTGATATTCTTGTTGATATATTAACAGTATAGAAGTTATATAGTGAACCAAATCTTCTGCCTTGTTTTTTAACTAATATATAATTTATTTTTTTCAAATTGATAAGACCAAGCCAAGAAGAATATAAAGACGTCTCTGGTTTATATAGTGCTTTTTGTCAACCAGTTTTTTAAGGGATATTTGCTTATACTCGATTGTATATATGTTTCAGTACGTTGCTAGACCTGCATCAAAATTAATTTCACCAAGTTCTTTCTAAACTAATGCTTCTCAAAAAATTCTAATTCCATACAAATGCTCAATAAATTTTACAACAGTCTGTGTTTTGCTATGCTGTGCTTCTACAGTTTTATGCATTCGCTCTGTAAAATTGTTTGTCATTATTGATTTTACGTTGGCTTGATCATATACTTGTAGTATCAATAAAACTTTGTCGCCATTCATTACATATTCAATTCATTTTAAATCACATATCAGGTTGTCCTTTATGTTGCTATCAAGTAATAGAAAATTAATAAATTTTTTATATTCTTTTTCCATTTTAGCTGCCTCTTCATTTGATTTGCTTCGATCTACAATTTTAAAGGCAAGTGCTATCAGATATCATAATGACTAATCCACTTTCCATATTCTAAAATGTTCACCTAATGTAGCCATAATGTGAAACTAACAAAGAATTGTACCACAAACAAGACCTTGCAATGCAAGTTTGATGGGTCGATATTTGTTTATTATAGCCAGTGGATACCAGTTAGATGTATATTCAAGTTGATATCGAAATCTCTTTCCATTTGATAAGTTAATATAATAGTATTAATGCAAACAATTAGGATCATTACATGGAATATTTGCTTGTATAGCTGTACAGCTATTTGTATTGTGTAATGGTTCTCTTTATCACATAGACTAAATGCTAATAGTAATCTATAACCGGCTTGATTTTTAATGACTATAGCAATAACAGGGGCTTTTTCATTGTTCAAATTATATTTTTCATCTATTCCAAAACAAAAATGATCACAATCATAGCCTTGCTTTAGTCACAGTTCATCACTTATGATTAACTAATAATAATGTTCAAAGCTATTTTCTGGAGCTGAGATATCACCATGCTAATAGTAAAGTATTTTCCTTTGCTCTTTCAAATGTGTAGTAACTAATTAGTTCAAAATGGTCCATGGGCCAATATTCTCTCATAACTGAATATCATCTCACTCAATCAATCTTTTTAGCTGTTGCTTCATACATATATCCTTACTTATATTCTGCAGATGTGTCAGGTAAGTTTCACTTGTGTTATTATATGGAGCTAATACTTTGATTGCAATTTTAGTTTCTGTGTTGTGATAAGCATGGCACGCAGTAATTACTTTATTACAGTTTGAAGACTGAGATTGATTTGTGTAGGTTTTAGATCTGGTGTTATAAGAGCAGATGATCTATATACTTCTTTTATAATTAATTATACCTGTAAAGAGTCTTTAATATTAGAAAGCATAACCTTTGTGATAACTCTTACTCCACACTTGTGCATGTCAAAATCATTTGTAAGATTATTTTTCAAACTAAAGTTGGGACATTCTTGCTTGCACTCACCAAGCCCACCACAGGCCCTTTTACAACTGATAATACCATCACAAAAGAGAACCTACTGCCATACTGTTAGATCCTGTGCTGTATTTTGTTTAAATCTAGATACACATTCACGCTCTTTATCAGTAAGTTCAATTGTATCGTCTATTCTATTGGTCAATTTTTTTTGCCCTTGAGCTGTTTTCCATATAAGATAATCAATAGCATCTTCAACGCATTTTAAAATAATGAATCTAGCTTTAATACTTTCATTTATATAAAGTCAACTTTGCCTTTTAAGTTTATACTTTGATAATAAAAATAACAAGTTGATATAGGTTTCAAGTATACAGCCAAATAGTAAGTTAATACTTCTATCAGCATTAATACGATGTGGTAAAAGATTATTTATTTAAAACTTTATATGTTTATCATAAAAGTAAGAATTTTATAAGGCAAGAATAAGAATTTTATAAGGCAAAGTACATAATAATAGAAACTTTATGAGGCAAGGTACGTAAACTGCTTTTATTTTTTGTAGTCAGGTTAAAAAATAGACTGTTTAAATTAAACAACTAGTGTCACAAAAAAAGAAAAAAAGCAAACCAAAAAAAAAGAAAAAAAAAGAGATCTCTTTTTATAGTGCATATTTATGCTATTATTAAGTAATTATTGTTGCTTACTAACTTTTGCTTCTAATTCAATAATCAGAGAATCAAATTTAATTATTAATGATCATATTATTTAAAGTATCATAATTGTAAATCTAATTAATTAGTAGCATACATTATATATTACTATAGATCACTAGATCACAATTACATGAATATAATTTACAAAACATATATAAACTTATATAGCAGCGAAAGTTCTTTATAGAAATGGAGAAACATAGCATTAGATCAAGGAATTAATATAAATTGTAATTTGATATAATATACGAAATTATACAATAGAATCAAGAAATTAATGTATGATTTAATATGTGGCATACGAATTATGCAATATATTAAGGAATTAATGTGAATTATAATGGTATATGAAATTATTCAATAGAAATAAAGTGTTTTATCACAAAATCCTGATATTGATATGCTATAATACTGACATTATATGATGTAACAATTAAAATTTAAAGCCTGATAATGTGATTAGTAATCTTTAAATATTAATTGTCATATCTGGATTATGGTTTCAAGATTTTGGATGTCAGAATTTTGTGATAGAACCGAAATAAAGCCATGTTACTAGCAGTTTTTTTGTTTTACTGTATTATGATATATTTGCTTAATAGACACCAAAATTCTAAGTATCTTCGACAATTAAAAAATCATCATATATATTAGAACTTCAAGACTTTAAATACTACACAATAAATATAATAAAATATTTTTTGATGAATTATTTTTGATGATCTATTAGGAATAGTATTGATCTATCAAGAAAAGCATGCAAATCGATTTATTTTTTGACCTATTAGGATCAGTACCAACAATCCATTAGGAATAGTAATTTTGCATTATTAAAACATATAAAAAAAAATTTTTACAAGTTTTCAAATTTTGATTTGGCTAGATTATAAAAATCAAGAATTATTTTTATATAACCTAATATAAAATCTAAATATAAATATAAAATTATTAATTAAAATATAATAAAAATTTGACAAAAGTTTTTTTTTTATTTTTTTAAATGTTAAGGTGACCACTTTGGGGTCTGGCACGTTTTATTAAACTTTGAATCGAATGCCAGGGCAGCCACAGGGCTACTCCTGACTTTGTTACATTAACGAGGATACATACTAGCCATATATACAACTTTTGGTTGTCTATTTAAGCAG